TTAACCACCTGCTTCCTCTGAAGAGAGTTTACAGGGTTAATGAGATAATGCTGCCAAAGGCCAGATCTTTGGATGAAAACTGCTAATTATAAGGAGAGCATCAGTGGGCGTGCGCATAGCTGAAGCCTGACCTTGCATCTGTGTCAAAACGCTCCCGAAGCAGGTGACATCATCACCATAGGTAAGAGCTTTTTTTTTTTTTTTTTTTTTTTTTGAGAAGTAAAAATGATTAAGAGGTGGAAACCAGGCCTGGGAAGGAAGAGGTATCCAGGAGACAGCCGCTCTGTCTACGAGAAGGGCAAAATGTTCTTTTTATTGCTAAGAAGAACTTGTACAGGAGTGGAGACGCAGCCCCACTGAGAACCGAAGATGGAGACAGGAATTTACACACGACGGGTTGACTGATGAGACCCTGAAGCGTTTAGGGAAGAGAGCGATGGAAAGCAGACATCTGACTCGTTTGTAATTTTAAACGCGGCAGTTCTGTGTCCAGCCTGTGGAATATGGTGCAGCTTGGAGGCCACTATCTGTAGAAGTCGCTTTATTTCTGTTAAAGACAGAATATACTCCCACAGTGGGGACATTACCTGGGGACCTTTTTTCTCTTTGACTGAGATATTAATCTTTTTCTCTGTTTTTGTTTACTTTCTTTTTCTTCTTCCCCTGTTGGTCCTTCCTGTCCTCCTCCGTCCCTCCGTCCCTCAGTCCCTCCCTCCGTTCCTCTCTCTGTCCCTCTCCCCTCCCTCCCTCCTTCCTTCCTTCCTTCATCCCTCCCTCCCTCCCTCCTTTCTTTCTCTCTTCTTTCCTTCCTTCCTTTCTTTTTCTTCTCTCTCTCCCTCCCTCCCTCCCTTTCACCCCCCCCCCCCGTCTTTCTTTTTCACACTAGAGTCCTCTCTAATCTGGTACATTAAGACAGTCCTTCTTTAATTTCACTACCGGGTAGGTTTGCAACATGGATCCTCATGAAACAGGCTGAGGGAGCCCCTAACTGTCTGGTGTCTGAGGACCATTCCCATGCCCCTCCCTGTTAGAGAAAAACTCTTTTCCCAAAGGCCTGAAACAAAAGCTTGCTTTCATTTCTTCTCCCTCTTTCCTCCCCTTCTTCCTTTTCATCGCCTTTCCCCCTCATTTTCTAACTAATATTTAGTTTTACCAAGTACCAAGTTCTGGCTTGGGCCCCTAAACATGAACCATAGTTCATTCTGGAATTGTTACTTTGGGTTTAGGCTTTGTAATCTTCCTGTAGTCAACAGCACACAGACAACATTCCCCAGACAAGAGCACAGTAACAAGACCATTCCATGTGAGACTTTCGTCAGCATAGCTACCTTCAAGAATAACTTCCATAAATTATTTGTTAGGGCTTCCTTGGAGGATAATTTTTATTAGGAAAAGTTATTTCTTTCTGTTTTGTTTTGTCTTGAGGGAGGATCTCATTCTGTAGCCCAAGCTGGCTTCAATTTCTGTGTGGCTTAGGTTGGTCTTGAACTCGTAATCCTCCTGCCTCAACCTCCCAAATGCTGGAATTACAGTTTACATCATTATACCTAGTTCAAAGGTTTTAGGTGGATTTTTTTTCCTACTAGAGAAGTCTTGTTTCCTTTTGTTTTTCCAATTTAGATGACTAGGTGGGATCATCACCCTAGGTTCACAGAGCTAAGAACAACACCCAGAGAGAATGGAAGGGCCCCCTGTGCTACTGCATTGTTCAGACAGGAGCTCACTTAGACCAATAGCCAGTGTCCCCCAGTGTCCCCCAGTGTCCCCCGGTATCCCCCAAGTATTGAGCACAGATCAGATGAGCTCTAGTATTTCAGTGTATAACAGAAAATAACCTCTGGTTATCGAGAACAGGCTACACAAACCTCCACTCACCACTGGGTATTGCTCTTAGCTGACTTTTAAAAATTATCTGTTAATCATGTCCTTTTAAACATGAGTACTTTACATTATTTAAGTAAAAATATGTAGATCATATGAACAGATCCAGAGGAATAAATCAAGATGTCCACTGTTCTACTAACATGTCTTTATGAGAGATTTTATTCCCCATATTAAATGACTTTGCAAATTATCAGTCAATGTTCTGTCTTAATAATCTGGATTGTTAAATAAGCTTGATTTCCCCAGGCATATTTTATATTTAATTTTATGTGCACATTTAAGACAATGAGATGAATTCAGGTAAAGGCCAAGGGAAGTAAGTCACACCCAAAGCAATGCCAAAATCATCATTATTGGAATACAGTGACATTAATCAAAAGGACTGGGAAAGCTACTACCAGGACTACAATAAACAGGGCCATATATGTTAACCTAATAATTACAGTATTCCGTTCACATTAAAGTGATGAGTATTTTATAGCAACCCCCCCCCACACACACACATAATGGGTTTAATGAAAAGTTATTGAAAACGTCCATTAAAAAGTTATTTAAAATTCTGCTTTCAAGGTCTGGGAAGACAGCTCAGCTGACCCAGTGCCTGCCATAAAAGCATAAGGAACTGAGTTGGATCTCCAAGTGTGGCAGCATGTGAGAAAGGCAGATGGGCTAGCATGTTATAACCCCAGATGCTGCAGAGGGAGAGATCGGTATATCCCTGGAGCTCCCTGGCCAGGCCACCTTGCTGACCGGGGGAACTCCATGCTCATGAGAGACCCTATCTGAGAATTCGAGGGAGGTAGTGCCTGAATAATGACATCTGAGATTGACCTCTGGACTCCATGCACATGCATGTGCTCCCACATACAAATACACACACACCACACGGCTGCAGGATCTTGCTTGTATTCTGCCAATACACAGGGAAAGGGATTTCTTTCCTTTTCTGTTCTTTTTAACCTGTTTAATGGTATGTTGAATTGACTGTGCTGAAGTTGGAGGACACTTAGCTTCCAATCTCAGGTTCATGATTCATTAACCATTAAAATAATAATTAATAATAATAATAATAATAATAATAATAATAATAATAATATGGAAACAACTTTCATTTGGATTGTGGTTTTGAAAGTTTTTTTATGTAGATTACTCATTTCCATCATATTCTTTCTAGAACTTTTATTTGAAAAATAGCAATCATCAACCCCTATTCTGCCTTCTCAGAGGGATGCTCTTAGATGGAAGGACCAAAGACAGTGCCTACAACTGGAATCCCAGAGAGAGTGCTGTGCGGCAGTCACTCATGTGAAGAGTCGTTCCTCTCCTGCATGTAAACATCAGGGCTCAAGAAAAGAAGAGGAAACCCAATTAGTAGATCTGATGTGTGAACTGGATTCGGCAGCAAACCAAGGCCTCCCACGCCTCTTGTGTCCTCAACGACTTACTACCTAACAGCGTAACACCACTAGCCTGATAACCGCCGGTCTGAGATGAAAGGACGCTGGCTAAAGATTCTAAGAACGATAAACTGCTCTTGGCTGATTCCAAGCCGTCTTCCACACATCAGGATTGTGTAAGGCTCTAGCGCATGCATCGCATGGTACGTCAAGCACAGGAAGCCTTACTTTTTCTCTTGGGCAATAATCTCGGGGGCTGGGAAACACTGGTCCCTTCCCCATTTGGTACTGGTTTGGGGGCATGTCTGCTGTAAGGTTACCCATTCCGCTCTATTTACCTTCATGAAGCATTTGCCAAGTGTGTATGTTTTGGGAAGGAAGCAAAAGAAACACAAACAAGAGAAAAAACCCTTAGGAACCGGCAAAACATTATAAAAAGTACCTTAGTCCCTACTTCTGCAGACACAAAGGCCTGCAGACTTGTGAACCTCTGGAAGCTCTTAGGTGGTTTAGAACCCCCCTCCCACCACTAGTTTTGAAAGCTCTTCTTGGCTTGGTCTCATTTTTTTCCACCCTTTCTCCATACCCACGTTCACACTATCAGAGAAGGCCTAGCTTGTCCCCTAGAAATTCAGGTCCTCTGGGCTTCAGCACCTGAACCACCTCAGACCAGTAGGAGGAGGCAGAGAGGAAAACTTCAGAGCCCAGCTGCTGGGCTGGAGGCCTGGCCTGCTCTCTTCAGAGGAAGAGACCTGAAACTTTAGGATCTGACCTCTTGTTGTCTGGCTTGTCTCTTCCTTCACTATTCCTAAGAGGCACAAGAGGTCTGCTCAGGCTCCCATGACTCTGTCCTCCGGTACTTGACCTGTGGCTGCAGACTGAGAGAATTGTTCCTGTCACAGCTTCCAAGATGACATTTTGGCTGCATAAAGACTATTTTCTGCAGCTGCTTCCAGCCTCCAAAATGACCAGCCTTCAAAACCTGCCAGAGATGTCATTCCCAATGGAGACTTCTTTCTGCAGATTTCTACAAAGGACTGCTTTTAACTGGCACTCTGAGGTCATTCAAGACTTTCCAACTGTAACCCTGCTGGGGATCTGAACTTGGGCCCTCATGCCTGTCTAATAGATACATTGCCAGCTAAGCCATCTTCCCAGTCCCCTGTAAAACACTACCGCAGTGACTCACACACACACACACACACACACACACACACACACACACACACACACACACACCATGAAGTCAGTTTGGAAGTTTGTCTTCAGTTCATAATAGTATGTATGAAAATAAAAAGTTTAAGCTGGTGGTGGTGGCACAAGCCTTCAATCCCAGCACTCAGAAGTCAGAGTTCGAGGCCAGCCTGGTCTACAGAATGAGTTCCAGGACAGCCAAGGCTACACAGAGAAACCCTGTCTTGAAAAAAAAAAAAAGAAGAAGACAAAGCTTTTCAATCATAATCCCCTAAAAACATATGTAGATGGAACCTGTCTAGTCAAAACTGAAAACTACCAAACTCAGAAAGAACTCAAGTTGTGTTGTTGTTTGTCTTATTTTTGAGACAGAATCTCAAAAACTTAGTTTAGGCTGGCCTGGAACTTACTATTTAGCCCAGACAGACCTGAAACTCACAATCCTCTTGCCTCAACCTCCCAAATGGTAGTATTACATGGACTGTAGCTATGTACCCTCATTGACAGAGCCAGAAATGCATTTACCTGGGCAATTATGTCTATGATTTCTGAATAACTATGGCATCTTCTCACACAGGATCGAGCCAAAAAATCTTCCACCAGCCGTGTTCCAATTCCGTAACCCCTGTGGATGAAGGAAAGTATGATTTGCATAGTAGATAACAAACTAAGCCCAATGTAACAGGTCAAATTGTCTTAGGTAATGGGTTTGTGTCTGTTCCACAGACCGCAGGAGCAGAGGCCAGCATATCTAGGAAATATGAATTAGTCTCTGCAAGGAGAGGAATCTGCCTGGAGTTGAGACTGGCCCAAACTTGACTGTAAATTCAGAGAAGGGTGGTTGCCTGCAGCCTAATGTTTCTCATTGTTAACTATTAACTATTGTGAAATGGGGAAAGTTGCTTGCTAACTTTTCTGCTTTGGTGTGGCACCTGGATACTCAGGTCTCTCTTAGCGTACATGTCGGAGGAGCAGCCTGTACAAGAATGGCTGTGTAAGGAAGAGGGGAAGAGAGCAGAGAAAGATTCTTGTATTGTCAGTGAAAGCTTCAGCGTTTAAGTTTCTTATGGTTTACTTCCTTCTCTTTCCATCCCCCCTCCTTCCCACCTCTGTGTGTGTGCTTGTGTGTGTGTGTGTGTGTGTGTGTGTGTGTGTGTGTGTGTGTGTGTGTGTAGAGGTGGGCAAGCAACTTCAGAAGACCCATTTTTCACTCCATAGAAACTGGAATGATGGGTACAGGGAGGGGCACGTAGCTCACTCACCAACTCCTCCCAATCAACTACCTGTAGCGGTAACTGACGTACTATTGAGAAAGCCCTTTATGGAGTTGTCATAACTGAGTAAGTGGTTGAGGTGGCCCAGCAGCCTCCTTGAACAAGATAGCCTGAGAAACTTACATTTCTAAGAAGGACGCCAAGAGATGCCAGAGTCTCTGTCTTAAAAAGAACTTCTAAGCCAGTTACAGAAATAAGACCTTAAACTAGAAGCAAAAAGGAATATTCTTTTCCCTAACCACCAGCCAAAACAAAATGGCCTTTACTTTCACAGCCATATAAAGAGACAAGTGAAACCACTTGAGCAGAGCAACAGAAAACCCATGAAAATCAGCACTGGAGTTTTCCAAGGCAATATTTGTGCCTTGAAACGCAAGTGGGAAGATCTCAGGTAGCTTGGCAGTTATGGGAAAATGGGTTTGAGGTCAGAGTCTTTAATAATTCACCAGATCTACTGAGATATTCTATTTATTAAGAGCAGGGCATCTGTGTGGGAGAGAGAGAGCTCAGTCATTCAAGGCTATGCCAAAGAGGTAAGAGTTTTCTCCACAAGACAGTTGAGTGGGGGCCTTAAAACAGTCCAATATTTGTTATTTATCTTTATGTCTATATAGGCTCAGCCATGGGGGACAGGGATGAAAAGAATGTAATGAGCAGTGTGCATACTGCACATACATAGTATGTATGTATTTGTATGCATATGTTTGGCTTCCACCAAAGGATGTGTTTCTACAAGTACATATTTATATGTGAAATCTAAAATGTGAAATGCTCTCAGAAGATATTCAAGACAAGCAAATGTGAAACATTTTTTCTTAAGCAAGGCCTTGCTTGGTACAGCATCTCAAACTCTATTCTTTGCCCACTAGTACACTCACACCTGTTAAGGTCGGTTCACCAAGTGTACTTTTTTAATCATACAAGGGGAATTTCTCTGTCCTCTACAGCCATTCGACAAAATAATACGAAATTATCAACATACGTCAAATAAATTGGAGTAGTTCCTGGAAATGCTACATCAGATGTGTGTGTCCTAAGCATAACCAACAGTATCAGTTCAGCTGTGGAGGAAAGAGTCGAGGCTGCAGGTGCTGTCTGGAAGTTTGTGTCTTTGCAAATACAACTATCAAGAAATGCAACAGAACTATGTGTATTAAACTGAAAGAACTTCCCCCAAAGAAGAGTATAAATACACGGGAATGGAAGAAAATAAGAATTTAATCCCCCCCCCAAGCTTTCCTTGGTATTGACTTACTATGTATTTTTTTGAAAAAAACATATGGACCCTTTTTAATACTCTTCAAAACCTAGGCTCAATTTCCCCTTTGCCCTGCCTGAATAAATCTTATAATCCTCCTGTATTTCCCAGTAATTGCTCGGCTATAGCTCTTTCAGAGTCCATCATTAACAGGTTAAAAAAAAAAACAAACTCTAGCGCTAGAACAGTTTAGGTGGGAAGGTCAGTTGGGGAGAGAATGGGTGACAGAGGTGGACCAAAAAACTCATGGTGCCTGAAAAAGCTACAAGGAAATCTGGTACTTGATAAGCCAGTCAAATAATGAAGTTATGGACTGGCTGGGGTGATGGCTCAGCCAATAAAATGTCTGTTGTGTGTAAGCATGAAGGCTGGAGCTCAATCCCCAGCACATACGTGTTGTTAGATTTTCTTTTACTCTAGCCCCACGCTGGGCACCAGCGTGTTGGTTTTTTTTTTTTTCTTTACTCTTTTGGCTCTTTGCTCTTTGGCTCTCTTGGGGGGCCTGCCACCCAGCTCCCAAATAAATCACACACGAAGGCTTATTCTTACTTATGAATGACTGGCCTTAGCTTGGCTTGTTTCTTGCCAGCTTTTCTTAAATTATCCCATCTACCTTCTGCCTCTAGGCTTTTGTTTTTCTTACTTCTGTATATCTTACTTTCACACTTACTCCATGGCTGGCTGGCCCCTAGAGTCCTCATCTCCTTGTTCTCTTGTTCTTTCTTCCTGCTCCTCCCAGATTTCTCCCTCTATATATTATCTCTGCCTGCCAGCCCTGCCCATCCTTTCTCCTGCCTAGCTACTGGTTGTTCCGCTCTTTATTAGACCACCAGCAGTTCCCAGAAGCCATAGGTTATGAAACGAAAATAGCCAAGTTTGGGCTCCCTCTCTATGAACTGTGGGTCATAGAGATCCCTGACGTCCTAAAACAATACAAGTAATTGCTGTAGGTTTTCCATCAAAGCTAAGATATCCTAGTCAGGAATTATTGGTGAAAACACCACGCATCTTAGTTGCAAGACATAGATAAATCAAGCCAAAACTGGGCTAGAAGCTTCCTTCCTACTGGTACCGTTATAGTACCAGGTGTTATGCAGGCTGCTGGGAGAATTGTCACTAGCAGTCTTACTCAGCTGTGGGTCCTGGGTACAACAATACTGACCAGCCAGGCAAGGTGAACACACTGGTTCGATAATGGCAAGTCTGTTATGTGATAACCACTTTCAGACTGGATCTGATGACCTCTCCATGGGAAGGAAGTCATGTTTAAGACTGTAAACCCAGTCAAAAGCCTGTGGCTGGAGAGGTCCTAGACCCTAGTAGAAAAGCTACTGTGGTTGCTTTGCCAAGTGGGCATGGTGAACATATCAAACTGCTTTATAAATAACCGCGTTTATACCTGTATAACGAGTATAATGCTGCTGCTCCCAGTTTTGGTAAGGAGGCTTTTTTTTTTTAAGTTGTCAGTAGTGACTCATTTAATACTCAAAATACTGAAAATAAATAATTAACTAATGAATGTCCTGCCAAAATTGGGGCCTCACTATCAGTCCTTTCAAGGCTTAGAGGACATTGAAGATGAAGGTGCAGAAAGAATGTGGGAGCTGGGGAGAGGCATGGAATGCTGACATCCGGGCATGAGCTGACATTTGCACTCACAGCAGTTGTGACTACCCACACACAGGTTGTAGAACAGTGGGCCAATCAGCAGTCTGTTATGGAAGGGGGAGGGGCTCCTGGGGTCCCTTCCTTCTGTTTTTATGCAGGCGGTGGAGGAGGGAGGGACATTTTTGTCCAGTGGAATAGCCACTGATAAGGTGCCCATTCCCCTGTAAACAGCCCCAGTGAAACTCACCGGGTATAATAAAGACATGGAAGAAGAAGTAGGGCTAGGTGAGAGAGGAAGGGGATTAGTGGGGGTGAGAGGGGGCAAGAGAGGATAAAGAGACTGAATATGACCACAATGCACTGTGAACATGTATGAAAGTGTCATAATAAAACCCGTTCTTATGCGTAATAAATACATGCTCACCAAACACTAAGAAAGAAAAAGTTACAAATAGTGGCAATATTACAATAATTTGGTGATCATATAATTATTTGGGGGAAACTAGAAGGTTGAATACAAACTGGAGGAATCTTCACTAATGAAATAAAACAGGAAAGCGGGCTTTACTTAAAAAGGAGAGATTGGGTTTTATATTAGAAATCCTTTCTAAAACCCTCAAGCCATGAAAGCTACATAAGGAAAAGACACCCCCTTTCAATCTAACTCCCACTGTTAGCTTTCTGTCTGCTTGTTTGCTGCATAGGCCCCAATAGGTGGCCCACGCTTATGTAAGCAAACATTTTCATTGTAAGGAATTGTGAAAATTGAAAATCCAATTGAATAATCCATCATCTTCCTAAGAGAACACATTGGTTTCGTCACGTCGGCTGCTCATATGTGACTAATGCAGATATCGTTTCCAATCTGAAAAATTCCTATTTTATAGAAACAGGGAGGCATTCCTTCCTATTGTTTAAAGGCTGAGTTGTAAGAATGTATGTCCCACTTTTAGATGTGGTTCCTCGAAGCCAAGGAGGAGCTGAGGAGGTGGAGCAAGCCATTAGAAGCTGGAAAACGCAGGTGATATTAACATGCAATAGATATTCTACAGCAAAGAGACATCTACTTACATTTTATCTAAGTATTTGTTCACATCTTCATCTTTTTCATAATCCTTGCATAGCTGGGCAACCAGAGCTCCATAAGTGAGTACAAAAAGGTCTTTGTTCTGTAGGGGGAAAGGCACACTGTTTTGTTACAGGCAGCTATGACAGTATATTGCTGTGTTATTTATTTTAATCTATGGGTAGGAATCACACCCAGAGACCATTTCTTCATCTCTCCCATGACTACAACAATTTGCACTCTCCAGTCACCACTTAAATTTATTCGCACACACAGCTAGGCTGGGAGAAGAACTGAGAAGTCTGTTTTCTCACATGAGAACGTCTCCCGACACATTTGGTCTATCATACCTTGATGTGTATTTTCATGCAGGAAGATTTTTTGTAAACGACTCATTTCTGGTGCAATTATTATTATTCTGGAATGCCTTGTGCTTTACACTGCCTGTTTCAGTTGGAAGGGATAACTGGTGAGACTCATTGTGAGTCCGGGTAGCCCTCATCTGAATCCCAGATCTACCAAAGAGGGCTTCAGGATGATCCCAACCACAGCAGCAAGCTGGTGGGAACTGCTTTTGCTTTTGTTTAGAGAAAAGAGGAGATTTTTAGAGGACCCAAATATAAACATTAGTACCTTTTTTTTTTTTAAAAAAAAAAATAGAACTCCAAATTATGTTCCACTTTTTAGAGTGAATTACGAGCAAAAATGAAAACTGAGGTCCAGTTATGCTTCAGTGAGTCCAGAGAAGATGAAAATAAAAGAAGCAGAAAGCTAAGCTTGGTCAACCTATTTCTGAAAGCCGGTCTTGTACCCGCCGAGAAGTGCTGTCTCTGAAAGGGAGGGGGGCCTGTTGAGAACGCCTTCCACACTGTCCACCCTTCAGAGCCAAGGGAGGACCCAGAGGATGTGGAAACATGCCCAGCCACCTGGGACCCGAAGGCCCCCTCCGACTCTAACACAGAGTCAGTCACTGAGGCACATGTGTGGTGGGAGCAGAGACAAACGGAAGAGGAGGAGGAAGTGGGACCACTATTGAAAATGAGCGTGTTTCACTCAGACTACTAGAATTTCATGAGCAGTCAATGTGGATTTCAGGCAAGGAGGGTCATCCTTACCTCTACCATCAAGTGTCTTAACTTCATACGCAGGGGACCAGAGGCCTGATAATGTATGGGTTTATATTTAAAAGATGGATATGAATGTCTTTTAAAAAACAATAAAATTATTTATTCAACCCAATAGCATCTATAAAACACCATGAATTTTGATGCAAATAATTCCAAAATTAGCCCAATGCCTCAGTGTTCCCCCCTGGGGGACATCTGAATGAGACATGTGGGTTTATATCATGACAAACATGCCTCTTTGTCAAGTGAAAATATTTATTATTGATACATTTTAAAAGAATCTAAATATTAGCTGGTACATCTTGACCTATTTATGTGAAAACTAGAAACAAAATATGTATATGTGGAATAGACATTATAAATTAATTTATATTGCATGTTAATTGGTATTATAATAATACATACACCTCAGGTCTAGGAAAATAAGATGTTAATACTTTTTCCAGGAAATAAGGGATATAAGCAAGAGATTTGAACAAAAATAATGTTAACTTAACATTGAGGGTCACAAATATTCACTTTTATTCCTGTTCTTGTGATATAAACTTGCCAAGAGGCTCAACATAGAACACAACAAATACCTGTGTATATATATAAAGCTTATGCCCAAGAGCAGAAATCTAAGCATTGCTATGTACCAGTGCTGTAGACAAAAACAAAAGATTATGGGAGGAGGGGAAGAGGGATGGAGGGAGAGAGAGAAAGAGAGAGAGGAAAGAGGGTGGAGAGGGGAGAGGGAAAGGTAGAGAGGGAGCAGAAGAGAAAGGAGGACAGGGATGTGTTTGTTGCTACTGTACACAAGTAAGAATTTGTACAGAGAAGAAAGAAGAAAGTGTGTCCTTCCTGTTTCTCACAGTCTGAGCATTGTGCTTGTTTTGAATTAAAGCCAAGGTGATTCCTGCCCTGGAGTCTCAGGTTCTCTTTCCCATGAGACATACTAATATGTCTTGAAACATGTTAACTTCCACCCGAGTTTCAAGTACACTGTCCATAAAGGTCCACTTCTTCATGTTGCTTCATGACCAGAGGTTATACTCTGAATAGCATATCTAGTATATCTTTGTAGGTCTCAAATCCATACTACAGATCCCAAGAAATAATAACAGAAATTGCCTTTTGGTTTTTAAAAATAATAAAATCAATCATTTTCATGTGAAAAATAGAACTCCAGTAATTTTTCCCAGTGGTACGCCAGTATTAAAAGGTTTACTGGGTGTGTGTGTGTGTGTGTGTGTGTCTGTGTAGTGAGAGGCACAATATGAATTATCTAGTATACATTTTTGTCATTTGATATCTCAACAGGCAAATGGCTCAAGATTCCATAATGCCAGATGAACTATTTGTAGGCATTTCCAACTGTGGTACACACCAGTTAGTCAATGCAGCCTTGAGAGCACAGGTCCGAAATCATCTAATTACACTAAACGCCCACCCGTCCTCGAAATAATTAAAACAGCATTAAACATAACCGTAAGTTTTCCTCCCTGTAATATCTGAACTACTAAAGCTATAATGAGGAGTTTTTTTTTTTAAAGGAGTATTGCTTCAAATTAAATGTGCCAAAAAAAAAAAGTTTTAGAAATAAGCAACTTTGGAAGATGTAAAAAAGACAATAGCACACATCAAATATGAACACATTTAAGACTAGGGAATGTATTTTTTTTTTTTTTTTGGTTTTTTCGAGACAGGGTTTCTCTGTGTAGCTTTGCGCCTTTCCTGGAACTCGCTTTGGAGACCAGGCTGGCCTGGGAATGTATTTTTAATGACAATCTTTTGATTCCTAGTGTTTTGACGGTCCTTTCCTACTTAATTTTACACATAATTGATCACACATTTCATTTGTTATTTAATATAGCATGCAATACAAAGAATTGATTGATGTTTCCATATTTTATCTTAGAGGCAAAAGGAATATTTGATACCTGTATTCAAGTCATCCATCAGAAAAGAAGATCCTAAAAACCTGTATAAAGAATTGATTATTCTGCTACACTATTAAAAGGTACTTGTAACTATTCCCAGAAGGGTCATTCACTAAACACTAAACACCGTCTTTGCCTCACTGAAATCTTCTACTTTTAGCATCATTTCCCAAAATACATAAAACATCCCTCAAGGAAACATTGACTGGGAAGTAGAAGCAAGGTTCTTTGAAAAAAAAAAAAAGGTCTTACTATTTTGTGATACTCTGGCTTTTTGTGTGCAGGGCGAGACATCTCTCTTGGTATGTGAGGAATGATCTTCAGTTCTTTTCTTCGGTCTGTGACTTAGACATGCACCAGTAGTCCACCAGTCCTTTGTCTTAGCAAGTTCCTCCTTGCTTTGTTGGAGGAGTCTTCTCTACTGCCTTTGCTCTCTGCTGGAATGGAAGAGAAAAAACAAACAAACAAAAAAAAAAAACCCACCAAAATTCGGGAATTGACAGCGCTGTCTTGTACCTCGTAATCTGCACAAGGAACAGCCTCACTTGTAATACAGACCCATAAAAGCTCACAGTGTGTGTGAAGTCAGACCCAAAGCACCAAGCCACTAAAAACTCTCTAGCCCCAGGGAGTTGATGAGTGGTGTTTTGTTCGGATGCCAAGGTATTGTTTTAAAATCACAAACAGAAGCCTTCGCAATCCAGGACAGATCTAAATGTTAGCATTATTCACTCCCGTATTGATTGTTCTATGAATTACAGAGACAGGATCAGCAATCTTTAGGCACTAAATCCTGAGTTTAAATCTGATCAACAAACGAGTTTCACATTGTCCCCAGAACACTTCCTGCCCCCACTGTGTGTGTTTACAGCACTCGAATATACCGAGCATCTTGTTTTGAAAAGGTAAGTTTTCATAGCAGCAATCAGCAGTTTTAAGGAGTCATAAAGCAGATGATATTTTCTTACAGAGCTGCTGCTCAGAATGGGTGCTCTTCAGTTTAATAATGTATAATGATTCTGGCACAGAGAGTAAGCCCTTAGCTTTCTTTTGATAGTTCCTGAGCTACTGGAGGCTCTCCTTATTTATGCAAAAGTACATATACTTAAAGTTCAAGTAAGTCTCATCGTGACAGATGCAGGGTGCGGGAGTTCAAAGCTGTTCCAGAAATAGACATGGAAAATTTGGTTGAGAAGGCAGTCTTTGCTTCTTACACCTTGAGACAATTAGTCCCATTGGTTCTGGAGCACCTCTCCTGCAAAGTGAAGACGGGCAGGCACTTTGAAGACAAGTGTGGCACGGTTGAAAGAGCCTAGGATGGTTGGTGAGGCTCCAATTCAGTTGCAAGTCTCCTGATTACTGGCTGTGTGGCCTTGGACAAGCCACTTTATTGCTCTGTGGCTCAGTTTTCACATCTGTGAAATGGCAATAGTAATACCTACCTCACAAAGTAATTTGACTATCAAAGAGATGATCTGCACCGTAAAACACATTATAATGCACTGTATAAAAAGTAATTACTGCAGGCTCTTCTTACAGGTGGATATATGGGATGGAATTCTATACCATGTGAAGTAGTTCCACACCTATTTGTGTTCTATGAAACCATGGTTTCAGGGAAATCAGTAATACTGGGTTTTGGGATTTGACGGCTTTCTTAGGGGCAGACCAATAACTTATATTTGCAAGTTCACAGTTTGCAGCATGGTTTTCACTGTCTATATCATTTTAATTCAACTACAGTCAATGAAATAGTCATTATGATACTTGTTGCCATTTTACAGGATAGAAATATGAAAATAAAAAGACTGATAAAGCTCTTCGATCTGACCTAAATGGTAGGGAACAGAACTACATTTGCAGACTCCAAACACCCACCTCCCCTTATCTACCGTATACATTCCAGCATAGTTGATGAAAAATTTTAGAAGTAGACACTAAACAACTATGAATGTGCAATCGATAGCACGTTGTCAATTTGGTGGTAATTTGGACTTGAAGGTAAGAGAGCCCTGAGAGAAACAGGAAATGTCTATGTGATTGTAGTGAGGGAAAGGTGGCACTGTAATGAACAACAATACCCGACCATGGCTGTGTGGTGGTCACATCAAGACCACTACAAAGCTTCAAGACGTCACAGGGGTACCTCAGAAAAGGTGACACCTTCCTCCAGGCTGACAAGGCTGTTGGCTAGCCAATGGCCCTCCAGATCAGACCCAGGACCTGACTGAGGAAGGAGCTGAGTGCCTGGCAGACACTCATGAGCAAACACAGCCGTGGGCCACTGTCACTTGGACACTGGTTTGCTCTTTTTCAGACTATGAAGCTCAGCATCCTTCAACACTTCTTAACATCTGAGTACACCTTGCGTTTCCCGGGCCCTTTCTTTTATGCAAAATCACCCCACTCTTAAAGAGGGAAAAAACGTAGTTTGGTGCTTCTGAAGGTAAATGACCCATGTTTGCCCTGACACTAGAGCAGGGAGGAGAGAGTTGGTTCAAAATAATGCCCAAGTGTTAAGTTTCTACTTTTTACTAGGAATCGTTAAGCTGGCTAGAATAGAATTTGGAGCTGGGATTGAGAGAAAGAAGCATTCTTCAATCTTGTCAAATTTACTCAGCTGCCAGTCAACACAAGTAAACAGTGTCTCAGACCACACCTCTACCCAGGTCCTTTCAGAGGCAGCTGGACAACTGAGTAAAGACTTGGGAAAATCCTAACAGAAGACAGTAGCAACCCCAGCTACCAAAGCACCTGTATGGAGTCTCATGTCTTCCTACAAATCTTCTCTAGGATCTAGGGAGATGGTTCAGTGGATAACAGTGTAAAAGCAAGAGGACTTGAGTTCAAATCCCCAGCATCCTCCTAAAAAGGTAGGCGTGGCTACTTAGTGCTGTGGAATGGTCTGTATGCTCTGAATGTGTTGCTCTGATTGGTTAATAAATAAAGTGCTGATTGGCCAGTAGCCAGGCAAAAAGGATAGGTGGGACAAAGAAAGAGGAGAATTCTGCGAACAGGAAGGCTGAGTCAGGAGATGCTGCCAGCCGCTGCCATGAGAAGAAACATGTAAGATACCGGTAAGCCACAAGCCACGTGGCAAGGTATAGATTTATAGAAATGGGTGAATTCAAAATCTAGCATCTAGCTAGCAAGAAGCCTGAGCCATTAGGCCAAACAGTTTAAATAATATAAGCTTCTGAGTGATTATTTTATAAGTGGGCTGCAGGACTGCGGGGCCTTGGCGGAACCCGTAAAGAAACTTTCCAGCTACAAATTGTGCCTATAACCCCAGCACTGGCAGGCTGAGACAGGCAGATTCTGCAAGCTCACAGGTTAACCAGCCTAGTTGAACCAATGAAAATCCAGTTTAGTGAAAGTAAGGAGTGACAGAGGAAGACCTGGCCTCTATATGTATGTGCATGAATACACACACACACACACACACACACACACACACACACACACACACACACAAACTACACATTCATTTCTACTTTAAGCTGATCTTCGTGTTTACTTTAACCTGCTTTCCTTATATAAAATTAATATATGATTTGTCCTGTGGCCCCCTGCCCCCTAAGGATAGGTGTAACGCTCTGATCTGATTTTCCCAGTCATACACTTGGTTGTGCTCTGTGAGAGAGATTGTGAAAATGGGTCCCACCAAGTAGTATACATGTGAAAGCTACAAGAAGGACAGACAACAGCAAACTAACTTTGGGATTCATTTCTATCAAAGTAAACAATAAAGAAAACTAAAATTAAGACATTTATAGAATGCATGGGACTGGAATGTATTATATTAAGTGAAGACACTCGGGTTCAGAATGACAAGCTTGTTCCTTCTCTATGTGGGTTTTAGCTTCGAATTTTCATACATGTGCATTATGACCACATGTGTGTGGTCACCAGAGGCATCTAGGAGAGGCAAAGGCGGGGTGATTGAACACACATGATATTAAAGTGAATGGGAGAACATGGGGGCAGAAAAGCTTAAGTGTAGGTGGAGGAGGGGCAGGGGGAGTGTTAACTCAAAGCTAGCACAGGTGGGTATGCTGTTAGAAAATGCCATACATATAATTCTAATCTTGTTCAAGATATTGTACTTATACCGTTCATTTAACAATGTAATGCAATTTGCTGATCCTTGAATGTTATTATTACCAACTATTAGGATAAAAAGAAATGAAAGTTAGTAGTTAGACATTACAATAGAATTTGTAGTCATATTAGGTATGTTTTCAATATTGAGCAGATATATTTTAGAAAGACAGGTCATCTTCAAACCCTTCAGAGATCTACAGAATATGGCATTTAAAATGTTTTAATAACTTAGAAAATTTTTCTTTTTGTTATGACATGTCGGCTCCTGGCAGTACCAATCTACTTCAGAGAAAATATGGGCATTGAAGAAACTGCATATGGAGTTAACTTTCATTGTGGCAAAAGTTAGCCACTGGACAACAAAGTATCCTCGAATCAACTGCTGACAAACAGGACAGACAGGACAAGAAACAAAGGACTACCGATTCTTGCCAAAACAAGTGTGGTTATGGCTTTATCAAAAAGCGTCTTCTGAGGCCAGGACAATATGGCACCATCCCTGAAGTGGCCTTCACAATCCAGAAAAAGTACAGTGCCCTTTTCTTCGAAGGCAGCTGAACAGGCAGTAGGCCGATGGCTTCTGATGTGCAATGGAACAGCAGCTGAAACAGTTATTCTTGAAGAGTAACTAAACTCACGCCTCTCAATAGTAGACTGGCATTTAATAGAAGGATATGGAGAAGAACGGGATGCTGAGATGAAGCCACACACACACATAGCCAAGAAGAATGGACAGCTGAATTAAAAAACATCAACAATTTCCAGAATTTAAAATCCTGAATCATGACATGACACTAGTGGAATTCAGGTGTTTCTGGTACATGGACTGCTCTCACCCAATGTGAGGTTTAACTATTGACCTTGTGTACATCCTACTTCACAAATGAGTCTGTCAGATACGCTAAGCCTATAGGCTGAAGATGATGCCCCAACACTGCAGAGAAACCTCAGGTGACTGTCCAGGCAGCTGGCTGTTTCTGTCAACTCACATTTTTTTTTGGAAGCTGCTTGCATGCACTTCCTGTTTTTATTTTTTATAGGTAATATTATTTCCTTCTTGGGTCTCTGAAGGAGTTGAAGATTAGTTAGTTATAGTTGAAGATTAGTAAGGATAGAAAGTGAATTAGGTATATTTTGGACTTACCAAAATAAGATAGATAATGAAATTATTTTCTCTGAATTTGTCAAATACAAATGGACTAGACATTGTTTAGGTATTTATTACTTGTATATATGGTATATAGTTATTGTACTTTTGTATATAGTTTTTCTTATGCTAGTTATAACCTTTTTCCTTTTTTCTTTTTATTAAAATAGAAAAGGGGAAATATGGTGATATTTTAATTGTATGGAAATGTGATTTTATTTGTATGTTAATAAATAAAGTTGCCTGGGGGTCAGAGCTAATAGCAAGCCACAGCAGAAACTGGGCAGTGGTGGTGTACGCCTTTAATCCCAGCACTTGGGAGGCAGAGCTAGGTGGATCTCTGTGTGTTCAAGGATACAGCCAGCATGGAGACACATGCCTTTAATCTCAATACCAACCATAGAAGACCTGGAGATCTGTATAGATGGGCAGTGACGAGGAGGTCATGTGGTTGAGTTTACAACCAATGAGAAGGCAGAATAGAAAGTCTATAAAAAAGACAAACAGACAGGAAGTAGGTCTCTTGCTGAAGAGGACAACAGCAGCAGTGAAGGGTGAGGTTTTTAGCTCTGACCTCTTGGGCTTTCATCTCTGCATTGGCTCTGTGCTTCTTATTTAACAAGACTGTTCATCTACAGTATGCCATAAAGGAATCTACAAAGCAAATCCTTACAGATCTGTATCAACGAAACCCTTGCTCTCTAGTAGGGTTCAACCAGCACTCTACTGTGTCCTACGCAGCTCCCAGCGGGAATGCTCTATAATGTTCTTCCCGATTTCCTCATATACCAGATACTGTAATGAATGGATTTTAAGATATGAGATAATAAACACAGAAGAAGGATGTGGTATGTGTTACCAAGCTTTGCTATATATGTTTCAGACTGAACTAGCTAAAATATGCAGGACCCTTTTAGACCCTGTCTTCCTGTCCGGCTTAGTGGTCACCACTCCGTGGACCTTGTATTTATCATTCCTATGCATGTGTTAAAGCTCCACATATATTACCATCCAGATACATTACAGAATATGTAATAGTACTTGTAACTTTATATTAGATTGGTGCCATACAGCTCGGATCTCATGGTCAGAACTTTTCCCTCAAGGTTGTTTGTTGAGGTTTCTCCACAATGATACCTGCCATTGTAGATAATTTATTTATGCAGATTAACATCAGGTTAGCAAAACTTTCTGTAAAGGACCAGATAGTAAGTTAGGTTTTACAGCCATACAGATTCTGTAGTAATAACTTCATCCTACTGTCAGTTTCAAAAGCAGCCATCCCCAAGTAGACATGGCTATTTTCCAATAAAACTTTATTAATAAGCACTGACATTTGAACTTAATTTCATTTTCATGTCACATATCAGTTTTTTTCAACCATTTTAAAACGCAGAAGTCATTCTTAACTCCTAAGCCAGACAAAAAAATGCAGTGGGCAATTTGGCTTCTGTACCATATTTTACTAACCCCACCACTACAATATACCGTTGTCATGATTTCTGAATCCCATTTCCTTGTTATCGGATGCCAATACTGAGATTTCCTTGGTGATCCTTTGCATCTCCCACACAATTTAACGGGAAATTATTTGTGGAACTTACAAAATAAAGTATTTATCCTCCACTTTTAGTTCATAGAATGCCATGTGTCTTTAACGATCTGACTTAGGCAAAACTTGCTAAATTTATTTTATCTTTTATCTACCTTTGTTTATTTGATCGACACACTTGTTAGTGTTACATTAAAAATCTCTCTGTGAAGGAATTCTTCCTTCTTATTCGGCCAGATCTTCCTTTTATATATTTTAAAGTTATGCAATCATGGACATACAAACTGACACTTTCATGTCTTCGTAACGCATTGTTTTTATTATGATGGAGTGTGCAATTAGCCCTTTACCTCTTTCCTTGTAGCCAGTCTTGCCTTCTCCTAATACCATTTCCTATTCTCAGTGGTCCATGATTCCATGTCTTTCTTTTCAAGCTTCGTGTGTGGTATAGTTTGGGGAGTGTCACTTACAAGCAGCAAGGCTGTTTTAAAAACACTGCATGGGCAGGTTTAAACCAGTTCTGCTATGGTGGTTAAAGACTTGTGCTAGGCTACCTGGATCTAGTCTTGACTCCTCCAGTCATCTGTGTGTGGTGCTAGGCAAGTTCTTTAATCTCGTCGTATCTCAAGACTGGAGATATGTTGTTGAGCAGATTGTGTGTTCTAAACACAGGGCCTAGCAGATAGTAAGCACTCAGTCGTTGTTAGTTATTTTGTTGTTATTGTTGATGCGTCTGGTCTCGTTTATACTGTGGTTTTGTCTTTTCTCTTTATCATTCGTTTGTCTTGGTTTACTCTCTCCCTTCCTATGAAGATTCTCTTTTTACTCCCTCTATGTTTTAAATGATCTATAGATGGCATATCTAATCTAGTCTTTCAGTGGTCACACTTAAAATGTTTATGGTTTATCAAGATGTGTTTGATACACAGTTTGATAAGTATATAGATCAAGTTTTTAATCAATGTAATTAACATTGCTATCACCCTGTTCTATGTTTATCTATTTGGTATCCATTAATTACAGGGCCAGATAATAAGCTATTTGTATTTCCCCTGTGAGCCAGAGGTCAAGCGCCAGGGCCATCACCTTATCGAATGCTCACAGACTGACTTAATATCGCCCTGCCCTAAATCAACCATTGCCAGGTTGCAGACATATAGGGGTAACCTCTATGCCCCAAAGCCCACTGGTTGTTTAAAAGCAGATCTTAGGTGTTCCCCTGCCCTGCCTTGTGTTCCCTACAGATCCCCTAGTAAAGGTCCCGGCCCAGGCTTTCTCTTCCTTCTCCCGCCTTCTGACCCAGGCTGATGCTTCCTGGGGTGACCCTGCTTGGCATTCTCTGACCTAGTTTCCTGGGGAAAGAATAAGAATAAATCTTTTGATAGTGTTGGCATTTCTTCCACAAATCCAAACACTGGTGTAGAAATGTATAACTCCAAAAGGATTTCTCATGGCTCTTTACCTCTCTTTGTATCCCTCCTTCCCTACTGTCTCAGCAAGCACAGGTCTACTTTCCGTTGGTGTACATTTATATCTCTAGAGTTTATTTTCTTGTTGTTTTGAGTTAGGGTCTCTACATGTAGCACTGGATATCCCAAAACTCAACTACACAGACCAGGCTGGCTTTGAACTCGCAGGGATTCACCTGCCTCTGCATCCCAAGTACTGGAATTCAAGGCTCGTACCACATGCCTAGTTATATTTTCTAGAGTTTTATATAAAGAACATCATACATATTTATTTTTTCAATTATTTCATCTAGAAAATTATTCTTAATTCATTCCTGTTGTCATATATAAGTTTTTTTTATTTTGATTCTTCTGAGAGCAGTAATAATGGATATATACCAGCTTGTCATATGGTGATGGACATTTGGGTTATTTTTAGTTTACAGCTTTTATGAAGGAAGTTTCTATGCATATTCAGGTGTAAATGTTCATGTAAACATATGCTTTCCTTTATCTGTTACAAATAACTAACAGATGTGACCATTGTATGGTGGGAATAGATCTACTTTTAAGAAAACCACCATTTTCCAGAGGGAGTTTTCCTACCTGACATTCCTGCCACCAGTGTGTGAGAACTCCAGCTGCTGAACAACCTCAGCAACATCTGGCCGGTTAATCGTCTTACTTTCAGTATTTTTGGTAGATAAGTAGTGATAGAATGCTATAATAATATATTGTTATATATTAATATGATATTAATATTATAATAATACATAGTTCTGTTTTTTGAAATAAAAATAATAGCTTCAACACCTAACAGAGAATTGCTTAGCATTTTGGGCTCATCACTATCTGTGCTCTAAGGTCTGCCCTCAGGCTTCATCTACCTCTTGCTGAAATACAACCTTTTGTAATCCTCTTAACGAACAAACTCTCTTCATCTTTATCTGTTTTTATTTTGCTCTGTCTTGAATGATGTCTTGCTGCTACTACCCCCCCTGAAGATATCTGTCTTCTAGTCCCTTTTGTCATTGATGTGAACTCCACTCTAGATCAAGTGTCATACTTTGGTGCAATATCTACTTTTTCTGTCTGGTACCTTTTACGAATGTCTGTTTTCACATTCTGTAGCTTTGCTCTGATTTTATCTTTATACTCCTTTATACCAACCTTCTACTATGTGAGAACTTTGATTCTTTTTTTTTTTCAAGTATTGCTTCTCTGCCTAGCCTTTTCTTTTTCTGTTGGAATTCCCATTACACACTGGGGTTGGCCTGGTCTATCTTCTGTGTCCTCATGTGCTCTGTGAACTACATTGTTTATCTTTCTGTGTTGCGCTTTGCATGAATTTCTCAGCATACTGTCTCAGTTCACTAATGATGTGTTTCACCACACCCGCCCTAGAATGTGAGAAAAAAAGATTTTTTTAAATCCAACCAACTCCTGTCCAGTCTTCAGTACACAGAAATTGTATGTTAAATGTTTCCTAATTAAACAGCACAAATAGCTCACATGTTTGATCATTTCATTCTTATTTAAAACTATATGTTTGCAATTTGACTTTTAAATCAACATATAGCAATATTCTGTCGAGAAACATCTTTGTTTTGATGTGGCTTTGTTGTGCACGGCCCCCTCTCATTTAGAAAACATTTTAGAAATTTTCGATTCTTCTAATATTTAGTTTCTATTTCTCTGTGTTTTGTAATGCTTTGGCTGTAGAATCTGTTTGTCACTGAGGTAAGAGTGTCTCTGCTTTGCTTCCTAGGCTGCGTTGGTTGATGCTTAACATTTCTTGTTGTACAAAGTGGGTGCGGAGCTAGATGGAGGGTATTTGCCTGGCAAGTGTGCTGTAGTCATCCACGACGGGATGTTGAAAAGTTCTCTCTTTCAGACAAAACTGAGATCCCTTCTCTTTCTCCCAGCTCCTCTCTGGTGTGAATTTATGAGCTCAGGATTCACAGAGCACATGAGAGGACTCCAGGATCCTTTAAACATATAAGGATGTCGGGTCACTTGACACAACCAGTTAAACCAGTGCAATCCTATAAAATGGTCACAGCTGGTGGCGTCCAGAGATCAGAAAGGGCCACCAGCTGGCTGGGTCAGAGCTTCCACGATGAGCCCAAATCTCAACTGTCTTCTCTCGTCTCTGCAGAGAGGTGGAGCGTGCACCAATACTTTGATAGCGATTTTGACTATTTGTGGGCAGCAACTGTTCTCCTCTTACACATTCAGCTGTCCGTGTCAAGTTGGGAAAAATTTCTATTACGGTTCAGCTTTTCTCTTGGTTCCTGCCCTGATCCTTCTGATCGCTGGCTATGCTCTAAGAGGCCAGATGTGGACAGTTGCCAGCGAATACTGCTGCTGCAGCTGTACCCCTCCATACCGGAGAAGCAGCCCTCTGGAGAGGAGGCTGGCCTGCCTCATGTTCTTCAACATCACCGGGAGGGCGCTGGTGGCTCCGCTGACGTGGCTGACGGTGACCCTGCTGACAGGCACCTACTATGAATGTGCGGCGAGTGAATTTGCCTCGGTGGACCAGTACCCGATGTTTGCTAATGTCACTGCCAGCAAACGGGAAGAGATCCTAGCTGGATTTCCATGCTACACGTCAGCTCCCTCTGATGTCATTCCAGTAAGAGATGAAGTAGCTCTTCTACACAGGTACCAGTCACAAGTAAGTTTATGACTTTTTTTTTTCTGTCGTACTATTCCAAACTTATTACAGTTCCTGTGAACATATTGCATGCCCGCTGTTGCTCCTGTTATCTGACTACAGAGCTCAGGTTAGATCCCATGCATCTGGATGAATTCTACTGGAAAGCTGCATGCACACAGTTAGGATGCTGGGAGTCAGTAGGCCTGCTTATCTCCTGGTGCTTTACCAGTTAGTAACTGACAAGTTGGTTATTAAGTTGTACAACTGCTCAATGCTTCACTTTCCTGAGCTGTGAAAGGAAGATAATCATAGAATCTGTCACCTAAATGGTTGTGAATGAGAAAATTAACTAACACATTTAAAGAGCTCACGACTGTGCCTAGACTCGGTTAAAATAATGACTGTCAGTATTATTATAAATATCATAAGTATTGTCAGAATAGTGCTATATTACTAAATCTCATTTTTCTGTGTTTTCCCCTTTATGTTCTTCTATATTAAGAATCTCTTCTAAAATTACAGGAAGCTCAATTATGTTTTAAAATCTCCAATGATGGCTCTAAATATAATCTCCATGGACAAATGAGTGTCAGCAAGTGGGATGGGATAGGAGGAAGACACGAGCCTGCAATACTTTTAGGTTCAATTTCAGAAGTGTAATTTTTCATTTTGGCAAGAAAAAGCCATCACCTTCTCTAAGGGATGAGTTAAAATGTATTTTCAAAGCACGTATCATAAAAGCATCTTCTGTCCTGAAGTCCTAACTGCAAAGGCTTCTGTGGCTTTTGACCTGCTGTCCTTCAGTTGTACAGATACTGTTCAGTTAGAAAAATTGCAGTCAAGACATGGAATCCTGAAATGCTGCAATAATACTCAATGGAAGAAAAGTCAGGAAATTTCCATTAAGATATACTTTGTCACAATTGTTTTTTGTTTTGGGTTTTCTTTTGTTGTTGTTTGTTTTGACTAGTCTCAAAACCAGCTCAGCCAGAGGAGCTTGAGAGAGCTTGTAGGAGAAAGGCCAGATGCAGAGGACAATTATACTGCCCACCTGTGACTGGATCCTGTTAGCATTCCTAAAAGCTCCTGTTAGCACTCCTAAAAGCTCATCTTCTTTATTTTACCTACCAGTTGTTGAATGTTTTTTTAAAGAATAATACAGAAAGGAACAAAAAAAATCTAAGAAAAAAAAGTCAGTGTTTCAAAAGCAGTTACTAAGTAGTCAAAATAAAGCTAGTTCATCTAAAAATGGAAAACAATAAGGAGCTTCAAGGTATAGCCTATAGTTGTTTGCTGATTTCTTTGGCTGCAAAAGATAAGGGGAATGCAGGAAGGCATGTCTGTGAGTACTTAGTAGCAGATCGCTGAAGACATCTTGGGAGGCTGCCATTAGTGCCTACAACAGCATCATTATCAAATATTAATTAAGCCCCCAACAAATGCCTGGGTCTGTACCTAATGATTGAGAAGCAAGATCGGGTTATAAGCAAAGGACAAGGTTTTAGCATTTTATATAAGGGTAATTGGTGGTTTATAGCGTCTATCACTTCAAGGACAGTACTTAGAATCCATCCCACATGAACAGGTCAAATTCCTTTGTAATATGAGGGCTCCACTGAAATGGCTTGACCTGTCCTTCCGTCGTGGCTATTTCCACATCAAATGACCATCACTGTATATTATATATTAAAAACCGGAAGCAAAGACCCACATTTTAGTTCTGAGGTTTGTAGGACTCCCTCGTACCGTGACTGTTTCTTGAATATTTGCTGTATTGATTGATGCTTGAGTCTACTAATTATATTCCTACTAATTATGTGTAGATGCTGGGCTGGATTTTGCTCATTGTGGCAACCATTGCTCTTCTGGCCTCCAGCTGTCTGGCAAGATGTTGCTCTCCCCTCACCTCTATGCAGCATCACTATTGGACCAACCACCTCCAGAATGAGAGAGCGCTCTTTGAACAAGCTGCAGAAGAGCACTCGCGGCTTCTCATCAGACATCGCATCAAGAAAGTATTTGGGTTCATTCCTGGGAGTGAAGACATCAAACATATCCGTATTCCTTCGTGCCAGGACTGGAGAGAGATTTCCATACCCAATATTCTGTGTGTGGGTGACACCTCCCAGGGTCCCTATAGCTTCCTTGGAGACAGGGTGGTTGAGGAACATGAGGAAGACAGACAAGAAGGTATTGAAATGAAGCCTTGAGAGCTGCACCTTTCAAAGTTCAGGGTGCTTGATTTCCTGAAGCTAGAGTTTCAGGGCAACCTCTTCCTTTGCTATCTCTCTGACATTTACTTACAGAAGTCCATCCAAAATCTTATTTCCAAAATCCATTTATAGAGAGACAACCTCCCCATACTTATGAAGTGTCATCATGTGTTCATAACGACTAGTGTGTCATGTTGGTCCATTTTAAATGGGTACGAAATTTTAAGTCATGTCAAATTGGAATTCAGTTATGTTACTGGGTATCTGTGTGAAAAATCAATATTTCTGAGTATTATTTTGTCATATGTCCATATTAGCTACCTCGGAGGGCTGTTGAGAAGGTCAGGAAACACTTAAGCTATGCTTTTCATACAATAAACACAAGCCAAAGTCACTTCCCTCCTTCCTCTCTGAATTATGTCTTCTATCACTGTCTTCCCTCACGCTAATTTTTGGTTTACTCCTCGTCTTCATTTAGATGATACTTTTTTATTACCTTCTCCTCTTTCCTCACATCTGAATATGTAGCCAACTAGAGGGGAAGATAGAATAAGATGGCATTTCTGAAGTGGTAACGGTGAGGAAGGTTTTGAGTGTCGTCCTGTGCTCAGGGAAGAGGACACATCATCACGTTATCATTAGTGTTATGCTATTTTCGGCATCACAGCAGAGGTGTCTGGAAGACAACTTCTTACAAAGTTTACCCTAAAAGCGTCCCCTCTCTGCTCCACACCAGGGGTCCCCGCTGTGTCCTTTCCTTGTCAAATTTTTCCTTTATGCTCAAAATATATTTGGCCAGGCAGTGGTGGCGCACACCTTTAATCCCAGCACTTGAGAGGCAGAGCCAGGCGGATCTCTGTGAGTTCGAGGCCAGCCTGGTCTCCAAAGCAAGTTCCAGGAAAGGCGCAAAGCTACACAGAGAAACCCTGTCTCAAAAAAACCAAAACAACAACAACAACAACAACAAAAAAAAATCTATTTGAGGAACTAAAGCGTGAAGTACAACTTCTAGTTGTTTCTAGAACTCAGAACTGCGAGGGTGGTGGTGGTGGTGGAAACATGGCTCACTGGGTAAGATCAAATACTGCTCCTTGGGAGGACCTGAGTTTGGTTCTCAGTACCCATGTCAGGCGGCCTACACTGTCTGAAATTCCAGATCCAGGGTATCTAATGCCCCTGCCCTCCATAGGTACCTGCCTCACAGGACCATAACCCCACAGAGACACACACATGAGCACAATTTTAAAAATAAGTAAATAGAACCTGGGGGAGGGGCCAGCTTTTCTCTGTCAGGCTTTGCTAAATGCAGCCTCTAACATCTGACATCTTCTAGCATATCTTGATCAGGGTTGCTTCAAACCTGATTTCTGCCGTGTTCACTTAAGCACCTGGCTCATTGAACCACAGAGAGATCTGAAAGCTTTTGTTCATTCACTTCTTTAGCCAAAATGATTTTTGATTGTCAGAGAACCAACGGCCAATGGCCAGTTTGGCCTTCAAGGAGATCAGAATAACTGGATTGTTTGAAATGCCACCAATTTCTTAGTAATAAGTCTGTATACAATTATGGAGGATTATATTTTATGTCAAATTCTTGGTACTTTGGCTTGATAGAAACAAGAGAGGGTTTTTAAGAAAACAAAACCTTTGCAGGCATTTCCCCAATAGAAGATTGCTGAGTATAACCCTGTGCTAGGTCAGGAGACTGCCCTGTCCTCACCAGCACCACCATCAACCTTACCAAAGTCAGACTATCTCACTGGGGGACTAACTCTGGTTTTAAAGAAAAATTAATGATACCCTACCTTCTGGAAGGCAAGGAACCGAACCAAATGAACTGTTGAAGTCCCTTCCTAGTCTGATAGAATGTTTATGTTTATTGTATACAGGGGAATTAATGTATATAGACTTTTCTGGAATGAAATGCTTATTCACCGAGTTGAATCTTTAGCGTTCTCTAAAAACATCTCTAGCATTCTACTTTTGAAAGAGCATTTCAGGGGATCTGGGAAAGCTGACTCAAATGTCAACTAATTGTGTGCTCAGTGATGATATAATGTTACAAAAGCAACTTTGAAAACAAAGATGATATATGTTGTGAAAGGCCATGCTGGTTCTAGTTCCCTCTAATGCCAAAATTAGTAAATATGGAAGGCATTATTTATTTTATTCTCAAAATTCTCTCAAAGCTCTAGAAATCCCAGTCTCCACAGATACAAGAGCTTTTGAACTTCCTCTGTTCTGGGACTTGCTAGAAAATGAATCATTTTCACCATATTCAGATTTAGTCTATTAGTTTTCAGGACCTTTACCTTGAAAAGAGACTCTTCAGTAAGGTTTTCAATTAGCCGCACAACCAAGGAATGTATGAAGTTAGAGCGCTACCTCACCAGGAAGATTAACAGCTGCCTATGACAGCACCAGGAAACAGCCTGGGCTGCCTTCTGAAGCCCTTTCTACATCAAACTCAGAGCATGACATAGAAGGTCTACCTTCTGAGCCAGTTATTCATGATCATGGCTTTGGGTCAAAGGAGATGGAGAAATCCTCATCTACACAGCTTCAAAGAATTCTTAGCGTCTATATGAACATTTGAAGTATATATTCTTGGGATTTCATTGTACTGTGTATCATCCACTTCAAGTAAAATAAATTGACCCCCCCCACACACACACCACACACTTTTAGTGTATTCTTTTGTTCCATAGCTAGTTAGGTAAAACTTTTTTTCATTAAGAACATGGCACTTCCTCCCCTTTATGCTTAATGGATTTATGTAATTATAAAACATGTAATTAAAATCAATTATATGTGCACACCTTGTATTTTGCTGCCAAGTGACTCTGGCTTGGCAGAGACAGACTTGCTGATGCTGCTTTGTCAACCCCACTCACTATTCCACCAGGATTCAGATCGCCTCCTTCCCAAAGCTCAGCGACAGCAGATCCTGATTCCTTTATATCATTGACACTGATCTGTAGGGAACTTACACGTTGTCATCCTCTGGTTTCTGTGCTCTCTGCTCATTTCCAGCTGTATTTTTGTTTAAAAATTCAAACTAATGATTGTTAATTAGAAACGGCAGTGTGGAGGCTCAACATTGAGGAGTGCTTGGTGCTCCTCCAGAGGATCGGCATTCTGTTCCCAGCACCTGCATGTGGTAGTTTACAACTACCTGTAATTCTAGACCCAGGGGATCCATCATCCTCTACTGCTCTCCTCTCGCTCCTGTACAAATATGACCCACGTGTGCACGTGGACACACACACACACACACACACACACACACACACACACACACACACACGCGAATATTTTTAAAACACAAGAAAAAAGAAACACCTGTGAGAATTTGCTGTTCCCCTTACCTCCAGTTTGTACTAGAAGGCAAGCACATCAGCATTCACATTTTGAAATAACATGACCGATTAAAGGCTTTCTGAATGCAGAGTGCATATACATTTGCTATCTCAAAACATGCCAGGTATGGAGACACAATTTTAGTTTCAAAATACAGCATACCACAATTTAGACACTATCAGGAAAGAGTGGCAGCCTTGGGGGAAGACAGCTTTAAACCTAGTCGTGTGAACGGGAGGTGACCTGGATGGTGACAAGTGCACAAATGGGACTTCTGAACGGAACAACGGATGGTGGTCCTAGATAGACAAGCCACAGTATTCTTGGTCTAAATCATTTGTGTGCGCTAAGCTCAAGACTGATAAAGCTTCTCTAAATCCAGTGTATAGGGAAGTCTACAGCGTTCACGTATGGTTTCCTCTGTTGCCATCTAGTGGTCTACACGAGCATATGCACCTATCTGTTGTGGGTGGAGGCAGTACAGACTGAGCATTAAAAAAAAAAACTCTGAAGTGCTCCAAAATTCGAAACATTTAAAACAGCAATATGACGAATGCCCAGTCAGCAATTCTACATAAATATTCCAAACCTGAAAAAAAAAGCCTCTGACATCTGAAGCTCTTCAGATCTCAAGCATTCTGAATAATCAATGGCCCAACTTAAGGAGAGGAGAGGAGCTCACGACATTCGCCATGTGCCAGTGACTTGTAACTATGGCAAACGGGGTCGCATATTAGGAAACAGCTTCACAAAATGACATTAAATAATGAGAGGGTTGACAGATTTTTTTTTAGCCTTACATGAACAGAGTACGTTTCTATATGTACAATTCTTTTACTAGGTTACAAGTAATTCATCAGTCTTCGGAATCCAGCCTGTTTGACACTCACAGTGTCACTTTCCCTATTTTATTAATGAAACAGTTGAGACACTTAGAGGTCAAGAAATTGTGCGGAAAGTCACATCACTTTATGTGGGGAAATCAGAGTGCAGCCCGGCTGTATGACGTCCAGTCCTGCATTCCGTAGTGCTGAGCTGTGCAGCGAGGAACGAAGCTCATTGGTCCTTCTCAAGTCTTGTAGGTGTGCCCAGTCACCTCATACTCACCCCTTGGGTTCAAGAAGAAGGTGCAATATCACATTTGAGACACCCCCCCCCCCTTTTCCACCCAAACCTCACCTGTATACATAAAGATCCACTGCCAAGGCACTGTGTGTTTTTTTTTTCCCCAAAGTGACTTCTTCATACCTCCTGGCGACTCAGTGTGGACTGCACAGTAGCCAGCAACAATGATTCTACCACTCCCAGAGTAATCATAAGCCTGTCCTAGAGTCCCAGGTTCTGTCTGTCTGTCTGTCTTTCTGTCTGTCTTTCTGTCTGTCTGTCTGTCTCTCTCTCTCTCTCTCTCTCTCTCTCTCTCTCTCTCTCTCTCACACACACACACACACACACACACACACACACACACACACACAAAGGGCCCAGTCAGGACAGCACTATGATCTGATTTGTTTTCAGGAGGCCATGATTGTGAAGGGTTGAAGCAGAGGTCAGAGAAACTGTCTCTCATTACTCATACGACATTATGGACGTCAGTCTCTCTGGAACCTTAATTTTCCTTTATATGAGATAGGAGA